CTCATAGGTTCCCCCCCCAAAAACCCCTTATTATCTTGTCTAGATATACTCTCTAGACACACTTCATTTGGTTAATGTCCTTCCTGAAATTCATTACCCAGAACTGAAAGCAATGTTCTAGATATGATCTGACCAAGGCAGAATAGAATGGTACAATGATTTTTTATTTTTATTTATTTACATCATGCCTTTATTATTTTTACAAATAACTTAAGATAGCAAACATATATAATAAAACTTCCTCCTATTTTCCCCACAACAACAACTCTGACAGATAGAGAATCCGGAAGTGGCACGGCAGGACTGGCTGGGAAAATGCTGGGCTCCAACGAGCTTGGCAAAAACCAGCCAGACGAACTGACACTGGGGGGGGGGGTCTTCGGACTGAAGCTGTCCTGTAGGGACAGCGAAGAAAGAGAGGCAGCTCAGTGTCTAAAGAGGGACAGGCAAGTCCCTTGGATAGCCCGAAAAACTCTCTCCGAGCTGGTGACGGGGGGCAGCGATCAGAGTGAATCGTCATGAAGCTGGAGCCTCTGAAGCAAGCGATATGCAGGAGGGAAGATTTGGATAGAGTGCTGGTGTTGGGTGAGTGATCAGCTAACCCACAGACAATAAAAAGAAAATTCTAAATATTTTTAACTACTAAACTATTACTAAAATTACCCTGGCATGGAAATTGCAGCTAAATAGCAGCGGGGGGAGATGGTGGATGGAAAGAGAAAGTGAGAATGACAAGCGCGCCATAGAAGAACCCGAATAAACAAATTAAAAGTAATTGACAAATGGAAATGTAAATCTGGAACCTGGATTCAATTGGGATTGGATTATAAACTGATTGGTGGTATATAAAGGTGAAAGAAGAGGTGAAAACTGAATTTTTAATTGTTTATGACTCGATAAACACGGATGTGGATTACAAATAAAATGGCGATTTGTTAATTAGTCGAGTGGAACTGTGGATTATAGAGAGACATCTGCAGGAGAAGGAAGAGCATGACATGGAATTGTTTACTTTGAGAAAACCTTTGAAGAAATAAAACCTTGAACTTTTAAAGAGATAACTGGCAAGAACTAAGGAGGATACATTTTGCCTACAAGAGGATAGACTTTGATGATTATAAAAGAGGGACTTTAAAGCGACTTAAAACTGGAATAATTCAACCCGGAAAGAATAAAATGGAACAGGAACTTAATGAACTGATAAAGACGATGTGTTTGGAAATAAAGGAAATGATTATAAATTTGCATGGAAAATTGAAATCTGAGGAGGCAAAGACAGAGCTAGAATGCACTGAAGATGAAAAGGAAATGACTAATGAGAAACAAGAAAGAGAGAGGGATAATGAAGAAGAGAAAGATAAAGAGACTGACTATGGAAAATTAAACAATTGTAATATTAAGTATGGACAAAAAGAAAAGAAACAAAGGAGGAAAAGAGGGTGGAATAGGAAAATATAAAAAACTTAAATGATTACACTGAGATTTACAGTGGAAAGATAAGAAAGATGGAAAAGAGATGAAAAATAGTAAGATATAAAGGACAAAATAAAAGATTTTATGATTTTAAAATACAAAATAAGCATACTGGGATTAAAAATGAAAAGATATAAAAAAGGAAAGAGAAAGGAGAAACAATGGGAAATATAGGTCAGAATAGGAGAGTGCAAAAATTTAAAATACAAAAGAAAGGAAGAAGAGAAAACAAAAGGCAAAGAAGGAAAAGAGGGTGGAGGAGAAGAAAAAATATTAAAAACATAAATGATTACACTGGGATTTACAGTGGAAATATAAGAAAGAGGGAAAAGAGATGAAAAATAATGGGAAATAAAGGGCAAAGATTTTATGATTTTAAGATACAAAATATTAATAATGAAAAGATATGAAAAAGGAAAAGAAAAGTAGAAACAAAGGGAAAACTGTAATAAATGTCACATGCTCAATAATATTGGAGGTTATAGAATGATAAGTTTTAACAATATGAATAAACCAGTTGGGGGAAATGTAATTTTTGGAATATTTCAAACTATATATTTGAAACATAATTAAAAAGAGAAAAGAAGACAAATTAAGAATATTTTAAGAACTAATTGGATTGGGTAAAATGAGAAAGGATTAAGATGTGCTTTATAAATATATATTTGAATAAGTGGAAATTTATTGTTAAGATGTTTTGAGAAGTATATTTAATGATTGAAATTGAATGTAAAACTGAATGAAATTGAAATGATAAAAATGATTTGAATGTATACTTGCAAGAAGTAAAGCAGAAAAAATATCTTGGTAAAAGTAAAAAAGATAAGGGATTAGAAAATTGTTTGAGTAAAGATTTGAAGGAAAAAAGAGAACAAGATGAAATATATTGTTAATAATTAAAAAGATAAGGGATCGGGGCTGCCTGAACTCCACAATGGAAAACAGTAAATTGAAAATGAATACAGCAATAGAGAGGGATGAAGGAATTGGAAGGGAGGAGGAAGGAGAGAGAAGGATGGAAGAGTAGGGAGGAAGGAAGGGAAGGGAAAGTGGAGTAGGAGAGAAGGTAAGACAGGGAGGAAGAGAGGAGGAGAAGGAGAAGGGAAGGGGAAGTAGAGAAAAGAAGAAGAAGGTGGGGAAAGAAAGTTAGGAGGAGAAAGATTGCTGTACAATAAAAAAAGATGAAGTGGAAGAAAGGCAGCTCTGAACAAACAAATATAAATATATTAAGAAAAAGAATGAATTGTTTAAGAATAAAAGAGGATAAATATGTACAAATAGTAAAGTTAGAATTTAGGGATAAATGAAGAAGGTGTTTATGTATGCAAGTATAGAAATACTGAGGTATATTCAAAAAAAAGGAAAGGGGGGAAGACGATATTGACAAAAATTGTAATTGAGTAAAATGTATTTGAATTTGACTAAAATTGTATAAGATAAGAAACGACCAACACTCTGTTCAAAAAAAAAAAGAAAGATGTGGGTGAAGGTGGGAGAGGAGAAAAGAAAAAAAAACAATAAAACTTGTTTAATAAAAAAAAAAACTCTGACAGATAAGTTAGATTGAAAAAGAGTGACTGGCCCATCTTGAACTTTACACTATATTTTTGTTGATGCAGTCTAGGATTGCATTTCCCTTCACCTTTTTTGTAATTGAATCATAGTATTGGTTCATATTCATCTTGAAAGCTATGAAAATATCAGATCTTTTTGCAACTATTGTAACCCAAAGTAATCTCATCATACTTATACTCATGCTTTTGATTTTTCCTAACCAAATGACTGACTCATTGGGGGGGGGTCAAGCTATTCTCCAAAGCGTTTGAAGGCAGGACAAGAAGCAATGGAGGATCTAATCAAGGAGAGAACCAACCTAGAACTAAGGAGAAATTTCCTGGCAGTTAGAACAATTAATCAGTGGAATGACTTGAGTCCAGAAGTTGTAGGTGCTCCAAAACTAGAGGTTTTTAAAAAGAGATTAGACAACCATTTATCTGAAATAGTATAGAGTTTCCTGCTTGAGCAAGGAGTTGTTTCTCCTGCCCATTTTTTCAATTTGTCAGGGTCTTCTTGACTTTTGATACTGTTTGTTTGTGTAATCTGCAAGTTAGATAATTACATTTTTAACCCCTTATCTAAGTCACTTGTAAGTTGTTCAACAATATGGAGCCTAGAATTGAGCCCCGAGGCATCACACTCATCATGTGGAACCATTGATACACATCTGTTGGATCCTGTTAGCAGAGTCCAACTTTTTTGACAGGATTTTGCTATATTATCTATTAGAATCCCAAAAGAGACATTGGCAAATGTATTGGTAAAAGCAATATTCACTGTATCTACCTCATTGCCATGATCAACTAAACTTGTCACTCTAATACAAAAAGTTAATTACAATGGTTTGAAATGGTCTGCTGTTGATGAATTTAGGCTAGATATTGCAAACCAAATCATTATTTTCTAAATGCTCACTTAATCATTTATTCTAGAATTTTGCCCAATATCAGTGTCAAAGTGACCAGTCTATAGTTAACCAGTCCTCTTCCTTTTTTTGAAGATGGGCCTTTCTTCACTTATCTGGCACTATATCTATTGCTCTGACTTCTCAAAGATCACAGAAAGAGCTCCATCGTGACATCGACAAGCTCCTTCTAGATTATCAGATATAATTATTTTGCTTCTGGAGACTTAAACTTGTTTGTGGTTGCTAAGTGCTCTTTAAATTTCTCTTTATTTTTCTTAGGTTGTCACTTCATCCTTACAGCAATTACTCTACATTCACTTCTTTGAGTTCTGAGCTCTCCCTCTCTAGTTACTGTTTTACCATCCTGTCATAACACCAGATCCTCCCTTTCCTTTCATGTGTTGCTGATGTAGACCAAAACTGATTTTTGTTGCTCTTAGTTTTCCTTGGAACCTAAGATCCTTTTTAAATTTTAGCCTTTCTTATTTTCTTTTTACAGATTTGGCTACTTGCTAATACACCAATTTGATGATAATGCCAACATTCTATTTTCTATACATGTTCTTTCAGCTATTATTTCAGTCCAAAGCTTCCTATGTATCCACAATGTTTTTCTAAATTACTCCTTTGTTTCCTTCTCATGGGAATAGTATGCAATTGTATCAACAATATCTTAATTTTGAGGTGTTTCTAAATATTCTGCATACCCTTTGACATGAGGATTTCTTCCCACAATCTCTGGCCTACTAAATTTCCAAATATGTGGAAATCAAGTATCTACTGTATATATGACTCACATTTCTCTCTGTAGTGCCTTGTCATTTTTTTTTCTCTCATTAGATACTTCTTAACAGTTTGAACATTTTGCATCAGTATTGAATCATTATGCTGAAACGTAGCTATTACGCTTCTTACGACTGAGTCAATGATTAGGGGAAAAATGACACTGAAAGTTACAGTAATACAGAAATATATGAATTAACTCCAAGCAGTCTATGGAAACATATATTCATATGCTCATCAATACTGGAAGTTTATTAGAAATCTGTCATGAATACAAAAGGATAATCTGTTTTTCCATTTTGAAATTCAGTCACAAGAGGTCGCTGTTTCCTAAGGAAACCCTCTAAGTGAAACTGAAAATGCAGAGCCCCTCCCTTAAAGGGACAGACATTCCTGCCACTCAGATCCACAAGGGAAATATCGAACAACAGGGAAATCTCACCAAGCCAAGATTCAACCTATGAACCAGTATGGCTGGGGTAGATGGTCTCTGCTCCTGACACCTTTGAGACAAGATATTTAGACAAAAAGAGAAGAGCTTGCTGGTGTTGTGCCTGTATCTGCGATGCTTACCTGGCCGAAGGGGCTGCTGCAGCTATTTCTGCTCCACACTGCCTGGAAAATGGGGAGCGGTCAGCTCCATTATTCTGTGCTGGAGGAATCCCAGCACGGCACCTTTGTGGGCCACATCACCCAGGATCTGGGGTTGGAGGTGAGCGAGCTGGTGCCTCGGATGTTCCGGATGCTGTCCAAAGGAGAGAAGGACTATTTTGAGGTAAACCTGCAGAATGGGATCTTGTTTGTAAATTCCCGGATAGACAGGGAGGAGCTGTGTGCCAAGAATGCAGACTGTGTCCTTCATCTGGAGGTGATTGTGGAAAAACCTCTGAGGTTCTTCCATGTGGAGGTTGAAGTCAAAGACATGAATGACAATCCTCCCATCTTCTCTGCCAGGGAACAGATCCTGAGCATATCAGAACTCATAACATCTAGGATACGATTCGCCTTAGAGAGAGCCTCTGATGCAGATATTGGTACTAATGCTCTGTTAACTTACAAGCTCAGCCGAAACAACCATTTTGCTCTTGATTCAGGAAATAATGAAGATGGCAGCAAATCTGTAGTTCTTGTACTGAAGGTTCCACTTGACAGGGAAGAGAGCCCTGTGCATCATTTAGTACTGACAGCCACTGATGGGGGTGAACCAAAACTCACAGGAACTGTTCAGCTAGTCATCAAGGTGCTGGATGTCAATGACAACCCTCCTGTGTTTAACCAATCTGTTTATAGAGTAAAGTTGCTAGAAAATACAGCTAGTGGGTCATTAATTATTGCTCTGAATGCTACAGACTTAGATGAGGGGATTAATAGGGAAATCTCTTATTTTTTTAGTAATAGCCTACCTCTAGATGTCACAAAGCTCTTTAGTATAAATTCTGATACTGGGGAAATCAGAGTTATGGGAAAATTGGACTATGAAGATATTAATTGCTATGAACTTCAAATTGTTGCAGAAGATAAAGGCAGTTCTCCATTATCAGGACATTGTGAAGTTTTTATTGACGTATTGGACATGAATGATAATATTCCAGAATTATTTGTGAATTCTCTCTTTGTACCATTGCCAGAGGATTCCACTCCAGGAACTGTGGTAGCTATCCTCAGTGCTTCAGACAAGGATTCTGGAATCAATGGACAAGTAACCTGTGTCCTACAGCCCTCTGACATGCCATTCAAAATAGAGTCCACATTCAAGAACTACTACTCCCTAATTGTTGGAGCACCTTTGGATAGGGAGCAGGTGGCTGACTACAGGATGGTTGTGACAGTGGAAGATCAAGGCGTTTCACCACTGTCTTCTAGGATCACCCTCGTAGTGCCTATTAGTGACATAAATGATAATGTTCCAGCTTTCACTCAACCCTCCTACATAGTCTTTGTGAAGGAGAACAATCCCCCTGGTGCTCATATCTTCACAGTATCTGCCTTGGACCCAGATGTTGCTGAGAATGCTCTGATCACCTATTGGATAGATGAGAAGCTCTGGCCATTGTCAAACTACATCTCTGTACATTCGGAGAGTGGAAAACTTTATGCTTTGCAGTCCTTGGACTATGAGGAGTTGAAACTGCTGGAGTTCCAGGTGAGAGCCAAGGATGCTGGAATGCCCTCCTTGTGTGGCAATGCAACTCTTCAGGTCTTTGTGATGGACGAGAATGACAATGGACCTGTTGTGTCAGGATCATCAGAAGAGAACCTGATTCTTCTAGTGGTCCCTGTTATGCCTGGGCATATTGTAGGCAAGATCCATGCCTTGGATGCAGATTCTGGATACAATGCATGGCTAAGGTATGAACTGGTTGAAGAAAGCAATGCTCCATGGACTGTAGGGCTGTATAGCGGTGAGGTGAGTACCAAATATTCTTTGGATGAATCAGAAGGCAGCAGAATCCAGAGTCTGTTGGTTCTTGTGAAGGACCATGGAAAACCTCAACTCTCAGCCACAGCTACCCTGAGTGTGTCACTTATGACAAGTGGTCAGACAATCAAAACAGATATTACCCTCCCATGGTCAGGGGAGAACTTTGTGCCCCTGGTGGACTCGATCAACGTCTATCTGATCATTGCCATCTGCTCTGTTTCCAGTCTCTTCTTGCTGGCCACTCTCATCTATGTGGCCCTGCGATGCCACTGCAAGGCAAAGGAATCCATGGTTTATGGCCCTGGCATGGCCACCCTGGTGTGTGCCAGCGAAGTGGGCAGCTGGTCCTATTCCAATCGCCACAGCCACATCCTGGCAGGTGTGAGTGCAGAGGCTGGTGCCAAGAGTGACCTTATGATTTTCAGTCCCAACATTCCTGTTTTTGCAAATAATGAGGTACTTAGAAATGGGACAGAATTGATCCCAGATTCAGCTAAAGAGGTGAGTTTCTGGTTTTGAAGTTGTTGATAGTCATTCAAAATTGTATTTTTGTTTTAACACTTTATGATCAGTTTTGGTATTTATCTATTTACAGTATATTCAGAAAGTATTCAGATACCCTTCACTTTTCTTAATTTTGTTATGCTGCAGCCTGATTCTACAGTTGTTTAAATTCATTTTTTTCCTCATTAATCTACAGTTAGTACCCTATAATGACAAAGTGAAAACAGAAATTTAGAAATATCTGTAAATTTATTAAAAAGAAAAAACTGAAATATCACATTTGCATAAGTTTTCAGATCCTTGACTCAGTACTTTGTTGAAGCACCTTTGGCAGCAATTACAGCCTAGAGTCTTTTTGAGTATGATGTGACAAGCTTTGCAAACTTGGATTGGGGGAATTTCTGCCATCCTCACAAGCTTGGTCAGGTTGAATGATAACAATCGGTGGACAGCCATTTTCAGGTCCCTCCAGAGATATTCAATAAGGTTCCAGTCTGGGCTCTGGCTGGGCCACTCTAGGACATTCACAGAGTATTCTTAAGCCACTCCTGCGTTGTCATGGCTGTGTGCTTAGGATCATTAGGTGAGCCTTCGGCCCAGTCTGAGGTCCTGAGTGCTGTGGAACAGGCTTTCATTGAAGATATCTCTGTACTTTGCTCCATTCAGATTCTTTCTCAATCCTGACTAGTCTCCCAGTCCCTGCGGCTGAAAAACAGCCCACAGCATGATGCTGCCACCACCATGCTCCACTGTTGGGATGGTATTAGGCAGGTGATGAGCAGGTGCCTGGGTTCCTCCAGACATAACATTTAGAATTGAAGCCAAACAGTTCAATCTTGGTTTCTTTGGATCAGAGCATCGGTGAAATCAAAATTTTTTACTACCAGTTCTGTCGATGTGGCTTGGTGGGCACTGTGTGGCTTGGTGGGCATGGCAGGGGAAGGATATTGCAAAATCTCCATTTCCACCCCACTCTGGGGCCAGCCAGAGGTGGTATTTGACAGTTCTCCAAACGACTCAAAATTTCCACTACCGGTTCTCCAGAACCTGTCAGAACCTAGTGGATTTCACCCCTGGATCAGAGAACCTTGTTCCAGATAATTTTAGAGTCCTTCAAGTGCTTTTTTGCAAACTCCAAGTGGGCTTTCATGTGTTTTGCCCTGAGAAGAGGCTTCCGTCTAACCTCCCTAAAGCCCAGATTGGTGGAGGACTGCAGTCCTTCTGGAAATCTGTTCCATCTCAAAACTGGATCTCTGGAGCTCAATCAGAGTGACCATTGGGTTCTTGGTTATCTTTCTTATTATGGCCCTTCTGCTCAACTGCTCAGTTTGACCAGGCCACCAACTCTTGGAAGAATCCTGGTTGTGCCAAACATCTTCCATTTGAGAATTATGAAGGCCACTGTGCTCTTAGGAACCTTCACTGCAGCAGAAATTTTATTATAGCCTTTCCCAGATCAGTGCCTTGCAATAATCCTGTCCCTGAGCTCTGCAGGAAGTTCCTTTGACCTCATGGCTTTTACTCTGCTACAGTATGCATTGTCAGCTCTGAGGCCTTCTATACAGAGGTGTGTGCCTTTCCAAATCATGTCCAATCAATTTACCACAGGTCGATTCCAATCAAGGTGTAGAAACATGTTACCAACAATCAAGGGAAATGAGAGGCACCAGAGCTAAATTTCACATGTTGCAAAGGATCTGAATAGTTATGCCAATGTAATATTTCAGATTTTTCTTTTTAATAAATGTACAGGCATTTCTAAAATTGTGTTTTCACTTTGTCATTATGGGGTACTGATGTGTAGATCACAGGTATCAAACTCGATCATGTCAGGTAATGTCAGGTGAGGCATCACAATGTTTTTTGTCTTTGCGGAGCCAAGGTGGGTACGGCCTCCATGTAATGCATCCAGCCCACGGGCCACTAGTTTGACACTCCTGGTGTAAATTAATAAGAAAAAAAATGAATTTCAACAACTGTAGAATCAGGCTGCAGCACAACAAATTTGACAAAAGTGAAGGGGGTCTAAATACTTTCTCACTGCTATCTATCTATCTATCTATCTATCTATCTATCTATCTATCTATCTATTTATCTAATCTATCCCTCTGATTTTACATTTATAATAACAGTCAGTAATACCTAAAATGTGAGCTCATAATGCATTTGCTCAATCAGGATATTGAGTTGCAAAACTATTATATTTTTTGTAAGGAAATATGTTTGGAATGATAATAGTATTCAAAGATATGCTTCAAAATCATATTTTATTTAATAGTCTGTATGATATAAATATAAATAAATTTTATTCTTCTAATGTTCTTATATTAATTCTATGCAGATTCCAGCAATGTTTCTCAGACTTGGCAACTTTCAGATATGTGGACTTCAACTCCCAGAATTCTCAGCAACAAGAATTATTGGAAATGAAGCCCCTACATTAAGCTGCCAAGGCTGGGAACTGAAATACTAATCTGTAGCTCATGAAGCAGTCAACCAATACATTCTAGAAATCCAGGTGGAGTTTTTCAGGACAATTTTTATTAGGCTAACCTTTTTTTAAAAAATTAAATAACTTCCTCAGTAAATTGGTGGGAATAGGTAATGTTCCATTAGGTTTCCTTGAGAATAATATAGATATGCTATAAATTTAGCTTTGGCTAAATTTTCTTAGCCTCCCAATTTAGTCCATAACCCAGATGTCTCCGGTTGGTCCTTAATCCAAATACTCAAAATATCCAGATGTAACAATTGGAGAACCCATAGGCTTCTAATAGAAAATGCGTGAAATTTTGGGAGATACAGTTTCAAGATGTTCAATCATATCCTGATGATTGAGGAAAAAAATTTTTTTCTCAAAAAAGGAGGATTGAATCATTTCTTAAGTAGACGAATCCTTATACAGAATGAATTGAGTACCATACAGCCGGAGGCTTAAGATCTTGGCCTTCAACAGTTAACTGCTGCAGACATCTAGGTATTGCTTTTATGGTTTGCAAGTCTAATTAATTTGTTGTGCCTTTTGTCAGAAGTTCATTTATTTGATGGCTACAGAAGGCCAATGTTTAGAAGTAAATCCCAACATTTGCTCAATAGATCTATTGCTAACATTTCAATTATGGAAAAAATTAAAATGCTTTTTGGTGAAAGTTGGGACTTCTGTTTTACAAAACCAGTTTCTATTTTTTCCTAAACAAATGTATTAAGGCTTCTAGACATTTGTGAAGGCCAACTTGGAATGCAGAAAAGACTATAAAAGATATAGCCAGTCTATAAGTCAGAGGTATCTCTCAGATAAAAGTTCAGCCATGTCTTGGTGAAGCTGACTATCTGCCTTCAGGATAAGATTAAATGATGGAAGATGAAAGATGGTCACTATCTATATGGGAATCAATAATAAAACCTCCATAATAGGCAACAAGTCTTTCTCATATTAACATACAATCAAAGGTAGTTGCCGCTCTGCTGGCTCTAAGTAAGTTCTCTCAATATCACCCCTGGAGTCAAGCCTTTTAATATCTAGAACCCAAATATCACCTCCAGGTGGAATAATCTCCAGCTTTCAGGGCTAATGCCTTAGGTTTTGAAGCATTGCAGAATAAAATGAGTGGTCTAATAATATAAAAAGAAAGTGGGATGTTCAAATGTTGAAGAAGCGACTAATCAATGAATTCCCTTCTAAAGTGAGAATTACTGGATGTTATTATTTATGAGTTTGTGCACTGGACTTTCCATTTGGACAGTTACTGTATTTGTGGGGCAGTCAGCGAGATGAGGAGGTTGACTTATTCTACAAAGCACCTGAGTATAGGATGAAAAGCAATGGCTGGAAGGTTATTAGAGGGAAAGTCAACTTGGAACTAAGGAGCAATTTCCTGACAGTGACAACAATTAATCCACGGAACAGTTTGCCCCCAGAGTTGTGGGTGCTGTATCACTGGAGATATGTAAGAAAATATTGGACAGCCATTTGTCCAGGATGCAATAACACCTCCTGCCTTTGGCAGAGGGTTGATCAAGAAGACCTCCAAGGTCCCCTCCAGCTGTATGAGTCATGGTTTTCTATGTCTTCTATAATCACAGGTACAACGGCTGTTAGAAATCTTTTTGTGAGGTGGGAAGATTTATATTGATTAGAAAAATATTTAGGGGCCCAATTTTTTAAGACAATGACCAACACTAAAGTGTCACAATGAATGGATGGATGGATGGATGGATGGAGATCTGGTACAGAATTTGGAAGAAATAAAAATGTTGACCTTTCCAAGAGCTTGTCTACTTTTCCGGTTGCATGTTGCAGAGAGAAAAAGATGTACAGAGGTTATCTGGTTCCAAGAATTCTAAATCAAACTTGTACAGATAAAATTGGGCTCAATTTATTTAGCTTGCCAGTCTGTTATGTTCCAAGATAGTAACTGTGCAGCAAGCTAAAACAATAAAGGTCATAATTGGAGTTAGCCACATTGCTGATCTGGAGGATCCAATACATCTACCGGTAAACTGGTATTGAACTGGCTAATTGACAAACTACTTAAATGTGACCTTGATGGCTTGCCTATTTAAGTGATTCTGTAGCTGACTTGAAACCTTTAATTTAAACAAGTTGATCAACAGCAACTCATCAGACTGGGGGCAAATATGAAAGATTAGGCTCCCATGACCACTACTTGGGAGGAAAGAAGAGCACTCCTGATTTTATATGGTTTAAACTACCATATTTTTCAGAGTATAAGATACACCTTCCCCCCCAAAAGGGGGTGAAAATTTGGGTGCATCTTATACACCGAATGTAGCCCCACCCACCCACTGGCCCTTACTCTTTGGCCTTTGGCTCCCAGCAATTTACTTCCTTGCAGCAAACAGCAAGAAGAAACAGCTCCTTTCTGCTTCAGCACAGCCTAATTAGCACAAGTTGATTGGATTGGCCTCCTGACTCTCAGCTGTTTTGTGCAGGCCTCTCCTGCTTCCTGCAAAGAAGTAAATTGCTAGGAGCAGATTTTTTTTCTTGTGCTAATCAAGCTATGCTGAAAACAAAAATGAAAGTAAAGCAGGCTGTTTGCTGTTTGCTGCAATGAGGCAAAATTGCTGGGAGGCAGAGGCAGAGACAGATTTCTTTTTCTTGTTTTCCTCACCAGAAAAGGTAGGTGCATCTTATAGTCCAGTGCATTTTATAATCCGAAAAATATGTTAGTCTCCATTTTTTTATTCATTTGCTATACATGAAGAGGAAAAACAATATAAAATCCACTGATCCAAGGCTGTAAATTTTGAGGACTGATAGTGTCCTCAATAGTGAGTATTGTCAGTTAAGTTGTTTTATGTGCATTACTGTTGAAATTATATCAGTATCATTATGGCAAGCAAAAAAGGAACAATTTAAAAATATTTCCAATGAAAGGCTCATTTAGACATCAAATGGTTTGGAAATTCACATGTTGCTCTGCTTTTCATCTATCTAAATTATTTAAGAAGTTCATACCCAGGGCAAGAAACAAAAAAGTAAGATGGACAGTATTTCATATTTATCTCTACCTTTTATGTACCTCCTTGGTACTGATGTTTTATTATACTTCATTTTGCTCAGAACTAGCTCACATGGTTTGAAGCCAATTCAATGTTCCTTCAGTGGCACCATGGTACATTTGTGAACAATGAATGAGATCACAAAAGTTACAGATAATTTACATGTCTCATTTCTTTCTTTTTTTTCTTTTAAATTTTTTTTATTAGATTATAAAACACAATACAAAAATAAAAAAACAAATAATAGGAAACAATGGAGAGGAAAAAGGGTATTATAAATTTAACAAGAGAAGAAGAAAATACTTTTTGAAGAACAAAGGGGTCAACAGTTTAACAACTCTTGATTAATTTATATCTTTGCTCTCCTCTTGGATTACAATTAACAGTTCCACTTCTTTTTTGTGGATTAAAATTATGCTCCTCTGGGACTTCAATTAAAAAAAAACAGTGACATTATTTGGAGATTGAAAATAAAAAGAAGGAAAAAGGGCTACAGTAATATTGAATGTTTCGACTCCTGAATAGCTTTGTAAAAAGGGAAATTGGAAGGAGATAGTGAAGTGGGTGGGGCTTTTGGGGTATTGTAGTTAATATCCTTAATAATTGGTTTACATTTATTAAAATATCTCAAAATGACAAAAACTACATCTGCGCCATCCTCAGCATCAGCATCTAACCCAGCAGGCCAAAGGTCATTGGATGTTATGTTGCAGCAAGAGAAAATGAACACGATGCAGTTAGAAATGAAAGCTATGATTCTGGCCATGCATGAAGATATTAAGGAAAGAATAGGAAAAGTAGAAGATAAAATAGAGAATTTTCAACAAGTAATGGCTAAAAATGAACAATGCATTCAGAAAGTAGAAGAGAAAGCTGATCAGAGAAAAGAGTGGAAGAGGTTGATTACAGACTTATCCTGGCAGATAAGAGTCATGAGAGAATAATAATATCACTTGAGATGTATAAGGCTGATTACTACTTGCGATTCCAGAATATTGAGGAAGAAAAGGGAGAAAACTTGGCGGAGATAATGGCAGAGCTGCTGGCAAATACTTTACAGGTGAACAAAGGAAAGATGCTTGCTGAGATGGATGAAATATTTAGAGTCTACACTAGATATCCGAGAAGAAATAGACATCCCAGAGAGGTACATCTGAGATTTACTAAAAAAGCAATAAAAGCAGAGATATTACAAAGAGTGAGAGATGACCCTTTAAAATACAAAGGGAAAAAATAGTACTTTTAAAACAGATCCCCAGAAATTATCATTGGCATCCTTCAGTCTCAAGAGACTATGGTATCGTGCTCTGGAAAGAGGTCCTAAAACAGCATCTAGTGTGACTAAAAAGGCCAATTCGAGAGTGGCAATCCCTTCCACACTGAGGGCAGATGCATTCTGTCCCCTGCCCAGGTCCCCCATGATTTTGCTGGTTCCGGGACTGCCTCTTTGCCTCAAGCTGCTGAACAAGTGTCTCTTCGAATTGGAGAAGGCCATGCTGCATCTTTAGCCTCCAAGCTGAATGATTGGAGGTCAAGGTCTTCCCCAGAAGTGTAAGAGAAATAAGAAAGGAATGTCAGCTTCTGACAAGACAGCTCATTAAGAATGGAGTAAATTTTAGATGGCTGATGTCAGGCATGCCTCCTTTCAGATTTCAAGAAAGAATGACCCCGACTCCATTTTCATAGATAAAGGTACTTTTACTGAAATTGAACTGAATGCAGCCAGGGAAAAGCAAGACCTGAGGCATAGGTGCGAAAATCACATATAGAAAGCATCCCCTCCCTACTGTCCAACGTAAATCATCCAATCCAAAGGTCCTCTAGGGGTCATGTGGAAGCGCACGTCTGGCAGTGTCATCAATCTGGAATGCCATGACCGTTGACCTGATATCCACTTCAAAGAATAGATTACAGCTAAGATTCACTTTCTTTTCTCCTTTCGTTCCTCCTCCTCCAGCACGCTTCCCCCCCAGCTTCCTCCTAGCTCCCCCTCCCCATTACCATGGCAGCCGATGCAAGCAAGCATTGAAAGAGCAGAGGCTGACATTCGCCCCCCCTGCAGAAGAGACATTATTTCTGTAAGAGAGAAAAAGGGAGATAACAATATATACAAACTATATGTACGCAAATTATGGTTTATTAGGATATTTGGTGTGAAACAATTGCACTTTCTTTGGCGCTTGGACATCTCGTTTGTTTACCCATTCAGCTTTAGATAATGGGAAATGTTTCCAGGTCACCAAATACTGCACCTTACCATGACACTTCCTTGAATCCAAGATCTCCTTAACCTCAAAATGTTGCTCTCCTTCAATCAGTATGGGGACAGGAGGAGGTTCTTGGTCTGGACGCAAAGGGGATGAATGTTCCAGTTTTAGTAAACTGACATGGAACACAGGATGAATTCATCTTAAATTTTTTGGCAACTCCAATTGAACTGTGACTGGATTAATGATTCGAACTACCAGAAAAGGGCCCACATATTTGGGTCCAAGCTTTTTAGACTTTTGGGTAGTTTGCAAGTATTTGGTGGAAAGGTAAACCATGTCACCAACTTTATAAGCTCGTGCCTGACCCCTTTTTTTACCGGCTTGGGCTTTATGAGCTCGATGCACTTCATTGAGTGCTTTACGAGTTACTGACCAAGTGCCACATAGCTGTTTGATCCAATCAATCAGAGATGGGTTTTTTGGATTCTCTTGGGGCAACTCTGGAATTGGCACAAAATCTTGGCCGGAGGTCACCTTGAAAGGGGTGAACCCAGTGCTGCTATGTATGGAGTTATTATAGGCCACCTCTGCAAATGGCAATAACTCTGCCCAGTTATCTTGCTGATAATTAACATAACACCTCAAATATTGTTCCAGTATGGAATTGGTTCTCTCACAAGCCCCATTTGTCTGAGGATGGTGGGTGGAGCTTAATCCCTGGGCAGAGCCTATTAGTGCTAGGAACTCTTTCCAGAAATGGGAGGTAAATTGAACACCCCTGTCAGAGATTATACGTTTTGGAGCACCATGTAATCTGTACACATGTTGGACAAACATTTTTGCAAGTGTTGTTGCGGAAGGAATCTTGGGACATGAGATGAAATGCACTTTTTTTTAATTTGATTTATATGCCGCCCTTCTCCGGAGACTCAGGGTGGCTTACAATGCGCTAAGCAACTTGTTTGGAAAACAAACCAGTGACCACCCAAATAACTGTGTTCCCCCCCACTTTCGGGCAATTCTACAATAAAATCCATGGAGATCTCTTTCGAAGGGGCATCTGGCCTGGCAACACTCTGAAGTAGTCCAGGCGGCTTCCCCGGAGGTCTCTTGGCCGAGGTACACACGGGGCAGCTAGCTACATATGCCTCTATGTCTTTCTTGAGTGTGGGCCACTAGAATTGTCATTTGACTAGATGTAGTGTTTTGACAAATCCGAAATGCCCAGCAACTTTGGCATCATGAGCGTGCTGTAAGACCGTTGCTTCAGACTGGCGGGAACATACAACTTGGCACCCACCCAAGCCAGACCATTGCGAAGTGTACACTCATTTGAGTGGCTTTGAAACCACTTGTCGGTCTTTAGAGCTTCTTAGCCGCTTCTTTAGAGCGGCTCAGACAAGTCATCCAATAAAGCTGGATCTCCCTTAGCCTGTGCTCTAGTAGTTACCGGTGCTGCCAACTGCGTTGAGGGGATGATTGGCCGAATCACTTCCTCTCTAGCACTGTTGTATTGCGGCAGTCTGGAAAGTGCATCTGTTAAAGTTCTTCCCTCCAGGAAGGTAGCACAGGGAGAAATTAAAATGTTTGAAATGCTGAGCCCAGCGGACTTGCTTTGGGGACAGTTTACGTGGTGTTTTATTTTATTTATTTTATTTATTTTATATTGGATTTCTATACCGCCCTTCTCCCTAAGGACTCAGGGCGGTGTACAGCCAGATTAAAAAAACATGCAGAACAAATATTAAAAACAATTAAAAGATATATAAATTTGGCCCAATTAAAACTCAATGCTTTTCAATGCTTCCAAGTTCTTGTGGTCAGTCCACACCTCAAAGGGGTGCTTAGCCCCTTCAAGGAATTGCCTCCACATTAACAAGGCCCAACGCACCGTGAAAGCCTCCTTCTCCCATATGGCCCATCTCCTCTCGGTCTCCGTCAGCTTATGAGAGGTATAAGCACAGGGTTGCAGCTTTCCTTCTGCATTCATTTGCAGAAGTACTGCTCCTACTGCTACATCGCTGGCATCAGCCTGTACAACAGCCGGTTCTTCCATGTTGGGATGCTTAAGGACTGGTTCAGCAGCAAACAGGCACTTTAGTTTCTCAAATGCCGCCTGCAGTCCATAGTCCATTTGA